CTGCAGAGAGAGAGAGACAGAGAGAGAAATGATGGACAGACAAAGGAGAAGGAAAGAGAGAGACAAAGAGAAAGAAAGAAAGAAAGAAAGAAAGAAAGAAAGAAGACAGATGTAAGAGAAGGAAAAAGAGACGAAAGAGAGAAAGACAACAGAAGGAAAGAGAGATGTAAAGAGAGAGCGAGAGAGAGAGAGAGAGAGAGAGAGAGAGACATTAACAGATGTGTTGTGTTCTCATGTTATGAGCTGATAATAAATACGTACATTAAACATAACTCAGAGTAAAAACTCCAGCAGTGACTCTCAGTGTGTTTACAGTAAACCACTCCAGTGTCCAGCAGAGGGCAGCAGCACTCCACACTGCGTTACCCGAGTTATTAATCTCCCAGAAAAACATCAGGACCCTCTGAATGATTCGCTCTCTCACTCGCTCAGAGCTGATACTGTACGTGAGAGCGGCAGTGTCCACTCAGACCCTCTCAGCTCCAGCTCTGACCTGAGCCGCTGTCGTCCTCTCGGCCGTAACCGCAGTCTGAGGTGGGCGTTCAGATAACGGCGTTATAAACGGGAGGCGTGCGCTTCAAAGCAGGATGAGCTTCTTAGGGGGCGGCTAACACTTTCTGATTGACAAGCAGGTAAACACGATACAGCGTTCTGAGGGAATGTGAGACTGAGACAGTAAACAATTCGAAACTGACACATCGTCTCTCAAATCTCCAAACAGGACCCTCACAGAGCAGGTACTGTTTGGGTGGTGGGTCATTCTCAGCACTGCAGTAACACTGACGTGGTGGTGGTGTGTTAGTGTGTGTTGTGCTGGTACGAGTGGATCAGACACAGCAGTGCTGCTGGAGTTTTTAAACACTGTGTCCACTCACTGTCCACTCTATTAGACACTCCTACCTTGTCGGTCCACCTTGTAGATGTAAAGTCAGAGACGATAGCTCATCTGCTGCTGCGCAGTTTGTGTTGGTCATCCTCTAGTCCTTCATCAGTGGTCACAGGACGCTGCCCACAGGACGCTGTTGGCTGGATATTTTTGGTTGGTGGACTATTCTCAGTCCAGCAGCGACACTGAGGTGATTAAAAACTCCAGCAGCACTGCTGTGTCTGATCCACTCAGACCAGCGCAACACACACTAACACACCACCACCACGTCAGTGTTACTGCAGTGCTGAGAATGACCCACCACCCAAATAGTACCTGCTCTGTGAGGGTCCATGGGGGTCCTGACCACTGAAGAACAGGGTAAAAGGGGGCTAACAAAGTATCAGAGAAACAGATGGACTACAGTCTGTAACTGTAGAACTACAAAGTGCACCTATATAGTAAGTGGAGCTGATAAAATGGACAATTGGTGTAGATAAAAGGAGGCAGTTTTAATGAAGTGGCCGGTCAGTGTATATCATAATATTTATTTATCTACACATTACACATCACAGCTACAGGAGCTTTTATGATTCCATTCTAAACCCAGAGGCATTAATATGCAGTTGGTCCCCCTTTGCAGCTCTAACAGCTTCCACTCTTCTGGGAAGCTTCTACAAGATGTTGGAGAGTCTGTGGGAATTTCTGCCCATTCATCCAGAAGAGCATTTGTGAGGTCAGACACTGATGTTGGACGAGAGGGTCTGACTCACAATCTCTGTTCTAGTTCATCCCAAAGGTGTGTGATGGGGTTGAGGTCAGGGCTCTGTGAGGGTCAGTCAAGTTCTTCCACACCAAACTCACCCAGTCAGGCCTTTATGGAGCTGCTTTGGTCACTGGGGCTCAGTCATGCTGGAACAGGAAAGGTTCTTCCCCAAACTGTTCCACAAAGTTGGAAGTGTACAATTGTCCAGAATGTCTTGGTGCTGAAGCTTTAAGATTCCCTTCACTGGAACTAAGGGTTCTAGATCAACCCCTGAAAAACAGCCCCATATCATCATCCCTCCTCCACCAAACTCTACAGCTGGCACAGTGCAGTCAGGCAGGTAACGTTCTCCTGGCATTCGCCAAACCCAGACTCGTCCATCAGACTGACCGATAGTTCAGCCGAAAAGTTGAAGGTTTTTGAAAGTGCGTAAAAGGCCAGATGAGCTCACGCAGAAAATCTAAATCATTTGTCCTTTTCTCGCCCACAACCGAAACGTTTAGTCCCGCTCCTGCTTCCTCAGCTCCGTCAAGGCTAACTGACATCCAATATCCGACACAGTCTAATCACAACCACAGTATCCTCTGCTGAAATAACAGGTCAGTCGTGGTCATCAGGCTCACTGTGAGTAACTTCACCAAACGCTGTTTATTCACCATTTAAACACAGAGCAGGAATTAAACCACAGAGCGGTTAGTTTTGGTGTTCTGCTGGGCAGCTGTGGCCGTCGGACTGAAGGCTCCGCCTCCGTGAGCTATGAGAATCTGCATGTTGCTCACATGATCGGCTGCTTCAAAGCTCTTTAGAACGACTTCATTCATTTTAGCTGTTTTATTGTTATCATTTACAGTGTTTATATATGATTTAGTGATCATTCTACTTCATTTAGGCTGGGCTGTTCATTAATTTGCTGGGTTTCTCCTCATGTGTGCTTAGTCCTGCCCCCGCCTGCAAGGGGCTGGTTTCCTGCCCACTCCTGTGCTGCAAGATATTACAAGATATAATCCAAATCCAGAACCTTGCTTGAGAACCTGTGCCTGCTTCCCATCATACAACAGCACCTGTGAAAGTAGGAGGAGGTCTGAGGAGCTCTAGCAGCTCTGTGGTCACCTGTTCTGAGGGTCAAATTTTCAAGGTTCAATTGCCCATAAACCGCAAGCACATCTGAACACTGGAACGTTTAACTCTGGAATATGGTGGAACCTGATTGCTCATGATGGATCACCTGTCTGTGAGCAGGACGTTCGGACAGACCTTTACACTCACCCACATCAGACCCTCAAAACAAGACCCGTCGCAGTAAGACAGTCAGCAGTGTTAGCTTTGTGAAGTGAAGACGTCTAATTTAATACACTTTATGGAGATTAAAACAGGACGTCGTCCTCAGCCCACAGACCACACTACCGAAAAGCACGGACCTATTTTTGAACTCTGGGTAGGAGATCTTACGGCCCACATCGCAGTAGAAAAAAACAGGCTTCACTATGACGGTGATCAGTAATCCAGTCCAGTCTTCACCGCAGAGTCTTCAGAGACTCAAAAACACCTCCGGCAGCAGAGCAGAGATTACAGCCAGACAACTCTCGCCATCTCTCTGTCTCTCTCTCTCTGTCTCTCTCTCTTTGTCTCTCTCTCTCTCTCTGTCTCTCTCTCTCTCTCTCTTTGTCTCTCTCTTTGTCTCTCTCTCTCTCTCTCTCTCTCTCTCTCTCTCTTTATCTCTCTCTCTCTCTTTGTCTCTCTCTCTCTTTGTCTCTCTCTCTCTCTCTCTCTCTCTTTGTCTCTCTCTCTCTCTTTGTCTCTCTCTCTCTCTCTGTCTCTCTCTCTCTCTCTTTGTCTCTCTCTCTCTCTCTCTTTGTCTCTCTCTCTCTCTTTGTCTCTCTCTCTCTCTCTCTTTGTCTCTCTCTCTCTCTCTTTGTCTCTCTCTCTGTCTCTCTCTCTCTCTGTCTCTCTCTCTCTGTCTCTCTCTCTCTGACTCTTTTATAAACCCCTCATTCGGGTGCAAAAGCAATTTTCTGTGCAGTTTGTCTTTTTTATTGAACACACATTAAGGTGAAAGGCTGTGTGACCCTGTAGCTCACCTTCACACCATTATAGCCAGTGCAGAGCTCAATCCAATCAATCTGATCACACTGGGTCCAATCACTTTAACCACTCTGGGTCCGATCAATTCAATCAAGCTGGGTCTGATCATTCCAGGTCCAATCACTCCAGTCATTCAGGGTCTAATCACTCCAATCACTCTGGGTCTGATTTATTTAACCAAGCTGGGTCTGATCACTCCAGGTCCCATCACTCCAATCATTCTGGGTCTAAACACTCTAATCACTCTGGGCCTGATCAATTCAATCAAGCTGGGTCCAATCACTCCAGTCACTCTGGGACTGATCACTCTGGGTCTGATCAATTTAATCAAGCTTGGTCCTATCACTCCAATCATTCTGGGTCCAATCACTCTAATTACTCTGGGTCTTATCAATTCAATCATGCTGTGTCTGATCATTCCAGGTCCGATCACTTCAGTCATTCTGGATCTATTCAGTCTAATCACTCTAATTATTCTGGGTCTGATCCAATTAATCAAGCTGGGTATAATCACTCCAGGTCCAATCACTACAATCATTCTGGGTCTAATCACTCTAATCACTCTGGGTCTGATCAACGCAATCACACTGGGTCCGGTCACTCCAGGTCTAATCATTTGAATCATTTTGAGACCAATCACTCTAATCACTCTGGGTCTGATCAACGCAATCACACTGGGTCCAGTCACTCCAGGTCTAATCATTTGAATCATTTTGAGACCAATCACTCTAATCACTCTGGGCCTGATCAATTCAATCATGTTGGGTTTGGCCACTAATTGCTCCAGTCATTCCAGGTCCAATCAGACTGATCATGTCTGATCACTCTGGGTCTCCTCTCTCCAGTTCTGACCATTCTGGATTACTCCAGGCCAATTATTCTAGGGCAGATCACTCGGGGTTTGATACACGTCTGATCACTCCAATTACTCTGTGTCTGATCATTCCAAGCCAGTCACTCCAGCTCAATCACTCTGGATTTGATCACTCCAGATCTGATGAGTCCAATCACTCTGTTCAATGAATCTGTTCAATCTAAGCTGATCTCCTGGTTCACTCCACTGATCACACTCGGTCTAATCACTCCAATCACCCTAAAGAGGCCGTGATTGGTCCAGGATAATATTCCTGTCTGCCTCGGCTTCAGTGCAGCTCTGGAGTTTATGGAGCTCCAGATGCAGCAGTAATTACTATCGACCCGTTTTAAACAGCAGCGATAAATAAAACTCACAGATCTCTGAAAGTGCGAGGCGAGAATGGCTGAACAGTCGCCACAGATGATCAGATG